AAAATATTTTATGGCACGACACCATGTAGCAACTCATAATGTAATAACTGCACATAATGTAATAAATTATTATTATAATAAAATGTTCATAATGTAATAATTTTCTCAAAACGTAAATTTTTTTTTTAGCTAAATGTAATTTTTCAATGTAATAAAAATGTTTCACATAATGTAATAGGTTATTGTATGATAAATTTATTACATTATGAACACACTGTGGCAACTTATAATGTAATCACAGTTCATAAGGTAATACCAGCACATAATTTAAAAGAATTATGTTTACAATATCATAATTATCTTTCAATATAATAAATTTGAGCACAAAACATAATCATAGTTTTATTAAAAGAAAATTAGGCTTATTAGGCTACATTGTATACACAACTTACACAAAATACACAACTTTTATTTTTTATAAATAGCTTACTAATTATGTGATTATGACATGGTTAATTTTTGAGATATAGGCCTGGTTTCACAGACAGGGCTTAGACTAAACCAGGATTAGGCCATAGTTCAATTAGGACATTTAAGTAATTGTTATAAACGTGCCTTAGAAAAAACATTACTGGTGTGCATTTTGAGACAAAATAAAGGCACTGATATATTTTAAGATCAGTCAGAGCAAGTTTCTTTTAGTTGAACTGAAATTGACTTAGATTTCAGTCTGGCATTAGGCTTAAGCCTTGTCTGGGAAACCAGGGGAATAGTCATTTAAATGGTTGTTATAAAAAAAACTTGCTTATATTCTACACAAATGTATAGGCCTAATGTATTTATAATTTTAGATGGTTTTATCTTCCTGAGGTAAATGTCATGTAACTGACACATTCTTCACAGGCTGTTATACTGATGATTTCACTGGTTAAAACCGCTTATAGGCACAGAAATAATGCGTGATTGTAGTTGTACTTTATTTTTCAACATTTAATCTAATATATTGAACAATCCTCTGATGTACATTCATGTTATAACTTGTATTAAAGTGAAGAATTGTTCATTTAACTTGAGCTCTGTGCTGCCGTTGCTTGAGGCAGATGATGCGATCTATCCCAGACTACATTAGATGGAAACTTTTTTTTGTTTTTTCCAAGTGTGTTAAAAAAAATGCCTTCAATTCAAAAGACAAAGAATTTAGTAGGGGTGCAACTGAATTGTACCTAGCAAAAATTTTTATCAGTTAAAATATATTTATATGCTATCACTGTCATTGTCATCATACCACGGACATTATACCTGAGATGTTAAAGGGGTCCTAGTATGCTTTTTCACTTGTTCAACTTTAGTTAGTCTGTAATGTTGCTGTTTGAGCATAAAGATCTGCGAAGTTACAAAGCTCAAAGTCCAATTCAAAAGGAGATGTTTTATTTAACAGAATTTTTTTTTTAAACTACAACAAAGGACTTGTTTGGACTACAACGCATATTTTCCGGGATTTGTGATATCACAAATATCGACGAATGGGACGAGACCTGGTTGAGCTGCACTAGAGAAGGCAACGAGTGTTATCACTATGTCGGAGACGCGCTAGCTTTCCCAAGGCAGACGAACTTAGAGTGGTTACAATCATCCGGTTTAAATCGCGCTCAAATTGATTTGATTTTGAGCAATATTTACACTGAAGCTCACAGGCGGCTATGGTAAGGGGCATGACATTTCCCAACCAAGCACCGAGTGGTGCCAATCACAACATGCACTGGCCCAGCTAACCAATCACAGCACATTTCATATTTCAGAAGGTGGGCCTTCATTTGATACAGGAACTATTCGAGCTGTTCATGCCAGACTGGGGAGGGAGGTGTTGTAATAATGTAAAATATGTGAAAAATAATGTGTTTTTCAAACAACCTAGTATGAGAGCATGTTCTAGTACACCCCCAAAACAAAACAACTGCATCTTTAACGGACGCTCTGTCGCATAGATACACGCAACCTGTCACTGTAAACTGGCCTGTCAATCATCTTGTTACAGTTAACATCCTCCACATTGCATTTAATTTAACTTCCTACCGTATTGGAGAGAAAAGTAGCAGCACATTGATCTGCCAGTCGTGGGTCTTTCATGCTGAGAACTCTGCTCATATTTTATGCATAATGATGCATTTAAAATTTAACGACCAAACGGATGTTTATAAAAGTTTACATTGCTGTTGCAGATGAAATATAACACAGACAACATTAAATAAATATTTTTTACCAGGTTAAATGTTGAATATTAGTAACTCAAACCCTTTTTTCTAAGCCTCTCTACCTAACCGCCGGTCGCGCACATCTGCCATGTTTGTAGTTTAACGCATTTTATTCGTGTTTGTAGTTCTGGACAGAATCCTTCACCAAAGCACAATGGATTGTGGGCAATATTAGTCATTAGAGTGTGCACGGATCCACACTTCAAAAATCGACCTGAAATAGTAGACCATCCGGGACTTTTGGCATACTCTTTTCAACATACTATGCTTTGGGACACAATTATTCTAATCTCACATACTATTTAGGATGGATAGTATGAACATTGAGACGCAGGGCATTTCAGTTTGAAATAGGCCACCACACTGAAATCCAGTCGGCAGCAACTTCCAGTTTACGTGGACTTTAAAGTAAATATGTCAGCAAACTGCGCTCTTTCAAGGATGTGCATTTAATGCATGGCCAAAGTAAGAACATAATCTAAGTGTTTAAAACATGCAAAGTAGGATTGCCAACTGTTCCCGTAGTTAAGCAACATTCCATATTAAATCCATACAGAAAGTTTATCATGTCACGCCCAGTTTAGGGAGCTAATCACTCTCACAAAAAATAAAAAAACAAGAGCATCCTTAGTTGAAACTGTAATAATAACATATTTGACGCACTCTTCTGTGCATGTTTGCATTTGAGCTCTAGAGAGCATCAGCTGTATCTATTTACAATGTTTGCAACATTGAGCAGTGTATAGCTAATCACAGACATGTCCATTGAACCGATGAACTGAGATGAGTGACAGGCTCAGTGCATTTGAAATTATAAATGGAGCACTCTTTGCACACATACTAGACTATCTGTAATGCATTCAGCATTCTTTCTTTTTTTTCCTTTTCAAGAGCATCCTTAGTTGAAACTGTAATAATAACATATTTGACGCACTCTTCTGTGCATGTTTGCATTTGAGCTCTAGAGAGCATCAGCTGTATCTATTTACAATGTTTGCAACATTGAGCAGTGTATAGCTAATCACAGACATGTCCATTGAACCGATGAACTGAGATGAGTGACAGGCTCAGTGCATTTGAAATTATAAATGGAGCACTCTTTGCACACATACTAGACTATCTGTAATGCATTCAGCATTTCTTTCTTTTTTTAACATGGGGGACAATGGGGAAGTCGTGGCCTAATGGTTAGAGAGTCGGACTCGTAACCCAAAGGTTGCGGGTTCGAGTCTCGTACCGGCAGGGATTGTAGGTGGGGGGAGTGAATGTACAGCACTCTCTCCCACCTTCAATACCACGACTGAGGTGCCCTTGAGCAAGGCACCGAACCCCCAAATGCTCTCCGGGCGCCGCAACAAAAATTGGCTTAAAAAACTGCTCCGAGTGTTTTCACGGTGTGTGTGTATTCACTGCTGTGTGTGTGCACTTTGGATGGGATAAATGCAGAGCACTAATTCCGAGTATGCGTCACCATACTTGGCCACATGTCATGTCACATATTTGCTTTGCTTAATCCATTCATGTACAAATTAATTCTAAAAAGAAATCTGTTGTAAAAAAAGTTTTTATATTATGTGCAGTTATTACATTTTGAGTTGCTACACACCCATATCTGTTACTTAAGTAAATAGACAGGTTTTTATGCATAGTTAATAGATTACATTATTAGGCTACTTTGGCCATCGCCCATTATAGATCAACATAATCTAAAGGTGGAAAATGCATCTATTTACACATATTTGAGAATCGAGATAGCCCATTTCAAGATTTAGTTAACACGTGTAGTATTTTTTCGAATAAAAATGAAAACATAAATAAAACATAAGTGCTATTGTGGCTGCTGTGTTTCAAATACAAATACAAATTCTGTGTTTTAAGAATGATATTCAAGGTTAAGAAGAATGCTGGAAGTTACTTAAATGTAAATTATCTAGGTAACGTTATACATTAGAGAAAGACGACTTTCCTTATTGATCACGTCTTCCCTCAAGTAAAATGCATGTTTTCTTGCGTGGCGTGGGGTTTGCATTCGCTCAAACTGATTTGCTGAAGTCGAAACGTGGACGTTAAAAAACTTAACTTTGTTAGTGTGAGTCCCGCTCGCTGTGAAGCGGGAGCGACCAGCCGGCAGAGGATTCGGCTTGGTCTTAAAGCCTCCCTCGAACGGCTACGTTCACAAATCAAACACTTGAATGAATCAGCAGTTTGAATAAATCGGCTGAACAACAGATTCATATTTACAGTCTCATTTTTTAAATGTATTTATTTATTTGTTTAAATGATTATATTTTTATATTCAATTTTTAAACTAATGAATTTATAGTGTTATATGTGTATTATATGGGTATATGTGTACATAAACCTAAATGCTACTTCAGATGCAGCTTCTGAGAACAACGTTATGGCCACACTGTAGCCTTTAAAGTTTGTGTAATAAATTCAAAGTTCAATAAAAATATTTATTTCTAACGTTATACTTTGTAATGTCTATACACTGCTTTTCTCATTTAACACAATAATGATTTACCTTCTGGGGGTAATTTCTCAGGCCAAATTACTGTTAATTTGTGATTAATTAATCATAATTAATTAATCAAAAATGTCACTCTCTCGACAGCCCTAATATACATATGCATAAAAGTGCTCTAAAATCATAGTAATAATACGTAATACTGCCATAGAAATAATTGAAAATATATAGCAAATTGACCGTTATATTGTTATAAATGCATATTAGTATTTTAGGGTAATTGTGCAGCACTTGGGATGGAAACCGAGAATTCCCAAGAAATAGTTGAACTGTGAAACCTGTTAGTCCAGATGCTGCGGAACAGATCAAGAGACTCGCGCAGCCGGTTAGTGCTGTTGTCCTCCCTTATGACCATGTTATAACTGCTACTGGCTGCCACAAAGATGATGGCGGTCACATCTGTGATTATAGACAAGAAGAGATATATTATCACCAAACACACTTTTAGGATAGTTCACCCAAAAAAATTTAATTGTCATAATTTCCTCACCCTCATGTCATTCAAAACATTTATTTTATTTGAAGAATGAATGACATACATACACACAAGGTTAGCACGGAAACACGCTAGAACAAACCTCACTTGTTTTTGTGCTGCACACATGCACAAAACAAACGAGGCAACACACTAGGCATACCACGGTAAGGATATTTTTCCACTGATTAATAATCTTGTGATAACATCGATACTACCGATTACACTGCACACTTTACAAGATATGGTACTTGTTAATGATGCTCAGGATCTGTAGCACTTTTATCTTTAATGTTATATATTTTCACCTTTCCCATTCTTCAAACAAAACGTATGCTTGAAAATGGTTGACTTATTATTATTATAGTCAATAAAAAACACAACAATAAAAACATACAATGACAAACTTATATTAAACATAAAACTTTTAGTAGGTGACATATGGAGCCCCGCACAAGACATGCAGACAAAAATTGATTTACTGTGGCCAAGAAATAAGAATTGGTTCCTACATTATAATTTGTTTCCTCATTTTATTAAACCATGGCCTTGTTGTACTAATTTTGGAAACAAATTACTACAACATGGCCACAATTCAATTTAAATTAGGGAACATTTCTATTTTGTGGCAACAAAATAGAAATTTTCCCTCATTTTAATTGAATATATAACTCAAAACTTATATATATTACTCTGTTTATACCCGTGTCATAACAAATAAATTAAAGCTTTTCCCTAAATTAATGCAAATACTTGTGGTTTATTATTATATTTAATAAAAACAAAACAATAATAAAATAAACACAGATAAACAGACTAATATTAAAAAGAAATACTGCCAAATAGGCGTTTGCTTTATTGATGACACCAAATCCTCCGTCATAGTAACTCCTTACTCTTTTCACGTGATAAGTGAAATTTTGCTCCTGCTGTATGGAGCAGCTGCTTTCAGTTTATAATTGTAGCATCCATTATCAAACTGAACTAAACTATTTTTATGTCTATAAAAAAAAGGAAAACTACAGTGGGGACACTGGGCAAGTAATGTAATTAGTATATGGCCAAACAATATGTAATATCGACAACACTGACTGCCGCAACAAGCCAAGCATCCATAAGTTTCTGCATTTACCATATGTGATCTGTTCATAATATAAAGAAAATTAATTTATTCTAGACTAAAGATTAAACTGCTCAATTCATATGGATTTGTGTTATGAAGGTTTAAATAGTTGTTTTTTTTATTGTTGTTGTTGTATTTTTGTGTGTGTGTGTGTACTCGTTTATGCTACATTGTGGGGACCAATTGTCCCCACAAGGATAGTAAAACTTGAAATTTTTGACATTGTGGGGACCGGCATGCAGTTCCCACGAGGCGAAAAATTTTTTTGTAAAAGATGTTTATCTTGAAGTGTAACAAAACATATTTTGATGAAATGTGAGAGCTCTCTGACCAGAGATGCATGCACTTTCTACTGAATGTAAACAACGCTGATTACATTGATTATGTTCTGGGGTACTCACCAAAATAGTGGAAGGTAAAGGCGTGGTAGTATCCTTGCTGTCTATGCAGGGTCAGAGAGCTCTCAGATTTCATCAAAAATATCTTAATTTGTGTTCCGAAGATGAACGAAGGTCTTACAGGTTTGGAACGACATGAGGGTGAGTAATTAATGACAGAATTTTATTTTTTTGAGTGAACTAACCCTTTAACATAAATGCCATTAGTTACATCAAAACAAAACTGTTTAGGTAAAATAAAAAAAGTTTAATTGTTTGCAGAAAAAAAATATACCACAAAGCTTGAGTAATTTGTAAGCTCACCGTTAAAGCACTGAATCCATTTCCTCCTTTCATCTCTCTGACCGCCCACATCAAACATACTGACACACAGGGAGAAAAAAATAAGAAATGTTTCTGTATAACAACTGAACAAACAAGTATTTATATAAATGTAGTAACTGAATGCAGTAATAAATCATTAGATCAATTATAGATCCTGCGTATGTATAGTGGGGTCCAAAAGTCTAAGTATACTAGTGTAAATGCTTCTATTCAATTTTTTTCCTCCATTCTGTCACCAATGGAGTATGGATTTCTTGCCACTGTCGCCTTTGGCTTGCTTAGTAGGTGACACTTAATTATTGGCAATATTGTCGACTTGATTCCACAGACACTATTTGAAGAGAACTGAACTGAGCTGGACAATGACATCACTGAATCAATTATGAACTGATTTTAATTGAAAGATTTACTGTTTACTATTGTTCTCTTTTTAGAGCTTGTTAATTTTGCTTATAATTTATAGCTTATAATTTTGTTTGCATTATTGACACTATTTTCCTGTTTAACACTAAAGCTGCTTTGACAATCTGTAAGTGTTATATAAATAAAGGTGACATGACTATTCCTCTCTAATAGACTTTATGCACATTCACTTCAACATTTTGTCTCTGCCAGCTTAGTCATATTCAGTGTAATGACAGAAGTTTTTTTGTCCTATGATAGCTCTGCTGAGTGATTTCCATGATTTACTGAATTTTAAAATGTGTTTTCCTAGACAAAATTAATAAAAAATTGGAAATATATTTTTTTCTAGTTCACAGGTATATAGCTGAAAATCTTTACTTGTATACACTGTGTAAAAATTTAAAGATGTGACAATGGTCAGTGAAAGCGGAAATCATCAACCCATTAAGGGCTGGATTCAAAATCCCAAAGGAAAAAATACTGATCCAACTTGCATGAATTTCATCACAGCAACGCAATGTAAATCTGTAGATTGTATGGCCTCCATATGCTACTTGTTACCTTCGGATGCTTCAATAATGTCAAAACACAAAACTAGAGATCAATCAGTCAGAAAGGACAAAGAGAGCACAATTGCCTGTGGCCACCACCTGCAAAACCATTCCCTTTG